CCCTCCCCCCAGTGGGGCGCGGGTTAACCCGCGCCCCGCTGGGCTATTCAGCCATACGCGCCCTGCTGGGGGGGGGGGGGGCAGATTCTGCCCCCCCTGTCTAACTTCCGAGCCGATGGTCGTAGAAAGACGGGGAAAACGGCAATCGAAAGCTCTCAACAAGGCGGAACTTAAGAGCCCAAATTTTTTTGCTTAAGTAGGTCAGAGGTCAGGTCAAGGTCAGGTCAAGGGTACAAGGTGCAAGTTTCTACAGTATAGGCCGTGCACCGTAGTTGCCGAAGAATGGACTGAGACTGATTGCCCAAAACGTGTTCTTAGACTACCAAGACAATATCCGTTGCATACAATGTCATTCAAAGGTCAAGGTCAAGGTCAGGTCAGGTCATGTCAGGTCACCGAAAAACAAAATATAGAAAAGGGCATGTGCGACACATGTTTTATGGGTCATTTTACTCATAGAATTCAATAGGCACACTCAATAAGTGATATGGACCACCTCTGGATGAATTTCAGGTCGAGGTCAGGTCAAGGTCAGGTCAAGTGAGGTCAAATTTTGAAGTTGGTTGTTAAGGCCTAAAAAGGTGTCTATCTGATGCAGTTTTTCACGGCGAATCGAATAGTGCTATTTTTGTTTCCGTACGAGGTCTAGAACTTCCAAAAAAAACATTTTTCAAAAATTTTGTGTGTCGTGACGTCATAAAAATTTCAATAACTTCCACATTTTTGAACCGATTCTTCTAAAACTTGGTATGTAGGTGCACATAGACCACTTCTTTGACATATATTCCGGTTTTTTCGATACACTCAAAATTTTGGATTTTATAAATATTTTCCCAAAAAAGTCAGTTTTTTGAAAAAAATTTGGGCCAAAATCAAAAATTTTCAAAAAACCGAGATAGCCATTTGATAGACAAAGTAGAATCACGTATAACCTTTGTTACGTCTTGATTCCTTTAAAAATGAAGATGTTAGCGGCGTTTGAAATTTTCCCATTTTTTAGGCGAAAATGGCGAACATGACGTCACTAAAACGTCATTTTCTCAAAAATTTTCCGACGGATTTCGCTCAAATTTTCAGGGAACGTGTCAAATTGATGTATGATAAGGTACTGAAAGTTTGACGTCGCTGGCGTAACGCGTTTAGAAGTTATTGGCGAAAAACGGGAGGGGGGCAGATTCTGCCCCCCCCCCCCAGCGGGGCGCGGGTTAACATGCGTGTACTGTGTCCCAAACAGTTTGTTTCAGGATGTAGTTTTATGGCTAACAAATTGTACTGATTTAATGTTAATTCGGTACCTTGGGGTAAGATGCCCCCTGCCCTGATGGGGAAAGACGCCCCCCTAAATCCGTAGGCTGGCCTTCAAGGAACCCGTCAAATCATTTATTACATACTTGTGATGAGAGACAAAAGCCGATCTGGGACTATTGAGAGTCCAGTACGGTCGGGTGCTCCCCATGCCGGTCTCTCGGCCCACACAGCGACTTTTTGGGCGGCATCTGACTCTGAGAGCCCTCACGACGGCCTCTGTGGCCCCCATTATTGGCTCCAAGGCCCCTCACGACATCCTTTGAGGGCTCCCACGTTGGCTCCACGGGCCGCGCTGGCATCTGAGGTCCCCACGATGGGCTCGAGGGCCCTCAAGCATCATGAAGAGCTATAAGGGCCCCACAGCGGTTTCCGAACGCCACCGCGGAGGCTTCTTTCGCCGCGCTGAACTATGATGGCCCTAACGATGACCTCTGAAGCCCCTTACGACTACCTTTGAGGGCCCTTACGATGACGTTTAGTGTCTGTTGCAGGCTCGAAGGGACTACTGATTCGTTCAGGCGATTCACGTGCCCATTTATGTCACTTATAGTGCAGGGGGCATCTCCCCCAACGCCAGGGGGCGTCTTTCCCACCCTGTGGGGTAAGATGCCCCCTTTCACTTCTTCAGGAAAATGCTTAACCCGCGCCCCACTGGGGGGGCTATTTATAGCCCCCCTCCCGTTTTTCAGCAATAACTTCCAAACCGCTTGACGGATCGACGCCAAACTTTCAGCACCTTCGGCTGCATCAATTTGACACCTTGTGTAAAAATTTGAACTTCGTAGCTACCATAGGTCGGCCGGAAATGACGTCAGAGTGACGTCATGTTCGTCCGATTTCGACGCAAAACATTGAACCACGGCAATCGCTCCCAAGAGCTCAGTTTTTAAGCTAGATCCAATTTCTTTGCATGAATGGACTCAGAATTGACCGCGCTATCAAACTGCTATCTCGGATTTTCAAAATTTTGAAAATTTCGAAAAATTTTAATAATAATATTCAAAATTTATATTTTTATATATTTTTCAAAAAGTTTTTGACTTTTCGAAAAAACCGGAATATATGTGACAGAACGCATGATTATGACTAACTCTAGCAAGTTTTAGCTAAATATCTTCAAGAATGGCCAAGTTATACGCATTATTGCAAAAAATTCACAATTATTAATTTTTCAAATCAATTTTTCAGTACGTATTTGACATCGTACACCAATATAAATGGCACCATCGTGTTCCTGAGTTCAAACTGCATCTAATAGACACCTTTTTTGTTGAAAAAATTCAACTTCAAAATTTGACCTTTTTTGACCTGAAAGTGACCTGACCTAAGCTAAATTCGACTCAAAATGACCTCGAATGACACAGACGACATCAAAATCGAAATCTTTGGCCTGAATGGACCATAAAACATGTGTCACGTGACCGACGCATGACATAATATTTCCGTGACCTGTGATGACCTGACCCTGACCTGAAAATCAAAGTACAAGTTTGGTACCCTCGAGGTATCTAGAGCATCTGTTCACGAGTGTGGAAACCAAAAATGAGCCCGATCTGACTTGTAAGACGGCGGCCAGAGCCCAAAATGTGAACAAGCCAAAATGCTAATAATTTTTACTTTGACCTGACCTGTGACGTCATCGGTGACCTCGAGGTCAATGAAATTAGGTTTCGCTCGACAGTTTTTCCGGGGCTATCAGACGCCGTTTGAATTTTGACGATCGGCCCAGTAGTTTCGGAGTTAAGAGGGGGGGCTATGAATAGCCTCCCCCCAGTAGGGCGTGTTATACACAGACCCCAGTGGGGCGCGGGTTAATAGCATAAAAGCTATCATATTTCAGGCACGAAAGTGTGTTATTTTTTGGAGAAAAATGATGTCGGCTTCCGTTGAAACTTTTTGTTTGAAACAAAAACTTCCGTTGAAGTTTTTGCTTTCAGATCCTCATTTTCGAATAATATATGAGATTGTAAAACCCTGGGCATCTTACCCCACTCTCCCCCACCCTGCACGCAGCCTAAAAGGAACCAACCATTTCCCTGCCCATCATCCGGGACCGGTTGATTAGACGCTAACTAACTCTTATCCTGCCATCCATGTGAAACGAATACGATTGTTCTTCTTCAGCATATCTACTCTTCAAAAGAAAAAAAACCTTCAAGTTAGTTGAGTAACTGGCGGCGACAAGGGGCATGCGGCGATGCACCGCCTCTCCCCACCGCTTTGCCTGAAACCATATCTTATTAAGTTAGCCGTTAAAGCCTGCGTTAAACCATGTTAAACCTTTTAGGAACCCACAAACTTGGCCATCCGTTTATCTCCTGTCTCCCAGTCCCAATGGACTCGCCACTCGCCAGTAACAATGAACAGCTTCAACAACAGCTTCGAAAAACAGTCTGACTTACAAAATGCTGTGTATTCAGTAAACAATATCGTTCATAAATGTTTGCTTATAACTTACAATAATAAATAGCAATGTGCATACCATACCAGTATAGCCTATAACAAACTACACAAACTACATGCGTACGCCGTACATTAAAGGGACCCTCCCACCTTCAAAAAAGTCAATGAATTGGCATGAAAGTGATGTCGCTCGGTTCAGAAAGAGCGAAAACCAATATCTACCAAATTTCATCGAAAAATATTCACCGGTTTTCAAGATATTAGACTTTTACTTTTGTTTACTTTTTTGGGATCTCCGCTGTTTCTAGCGACTTTATTTTAGAAGTGCGGCGTTTGCGGCAGATGTTGCGCGTAAGTAGCATATACCACCGCGTGCTACAAAACGTTTTAGTCAAACATTTAAAAATCGTTAGATATTTGCGCTGACGTCACACATTCAGAGGGGTATTCCTAAGCATTAGCCCCTCTGAATCAAAATGCTGCAATTTTGAAATTCAATATTTCCGATTTAAGGCATTTCTCGATGTTGTGAGTGCCGAAACCGGTAATTGTGAGCCAGGGACCCCATTTTGGCTATCTCAACTCAAATCTAATGTTAAGGTGGGAGGGTCCCTTTAACAAGCGTACATAAAAACTACACAAACTACTACGCATTGCGTAGTAATTGGGCTTTATAGAGGCCTACTACTCAAACAAGCAACGAACAAGCGTAGGTACAGATATTATATGGTGGGGGGGGGGGGGGGGCGATGCAACCGGATAGTTCATAACAGACAGCCATGCCCACGTGCGAACACTCCTTACGGCTTACGGTCTCGCCAAATGCCGCCAGGGGATGTTAGACTGTACCGCATGGCACTGTGTAGTGCGGCACAGTCTAACCGTGGATTCCGGTTCTCGCCGCTCAGCATAAGTCGCACGGTTAAATATATATATATTTTTTTAGTTGAAATCAAATGACTAAGAAGACATGTTCTGTCACATAACAGCAGTGTCAAGCAGCCGTCAGAGCTTTCTTAAGGCCTGGCTACACTATGCGTTTTCTGCGTGCGTTTTTGCAGGTTTGCGTGTTTTGCGTAATATCGTTCTAGGAAAAAAAGTTATAAACAATATAATTTTTACTTTGGTTATATACAAAAGCTAATATAACTCTTATGTAACTAAAATTTAAGGTGAAAAACATCACAAAAACGTAATATCGTTCTTTTTTCTAGAACGATATCACGCAAAACACGCAAACACGCAAAAAACGCACGAAGAAAACGCATAGTGTAGCCAGGCCTTTAGCCTCATCACAACATACCTCATAATCACTATTTTCAATAGAAGGAGAGCATCCAGTGGACGAAACGCTTGTCCTCGGAAGCATTCGTATTCAGGTGTTTCGTTTTCAGAACGGCGCACTGTCCACACTCCACGGAACATTTCTCCCAGCCTGAGCCACTCCACATTCTTCCGTCATGCCACGTCACGTCCTCACATCACATCACGTCACGTCACATACTCAGAGCATCACTTCCATCAGCTCCCGGTGTTTCTTTTCCTTCATGTTGACCTCGATGACGTGTCCCTTCTTGTCTGCCACGGTGGTGAGCAGCACGTGGCCCTTGGCCCAGCTGACTGACTCGATGTGTGCGTCTTCGGGCACCTCCAGACTGTAGTGCCACTCCACGGCTACGGAGGTGGTCCAGCGGTGCAGGGCCACCGTGCTGAGAACAGAGACAGACGGGACACGGGGCGGGTCAGTGGGCAACGCACGGTCTGGTGTTATCAAAACGATGCTAGAATTTGAAGGAGCCTGAGTATAGGTAACTAACGAACATTAAAACGTTACCACATTCTTTCTTCGAGTGCTTCATATGCACTTAAACGGCCATTACATATGTATTCATCGCTGAGGATAAGTGCAAGTGTGCTAAGGTCCGGCGTCTTTTCTCACTTTTGCACGGTCCTAACGGCGGTGAGCAGCGCCGAGCCGCTCCTGTTGACGCTGACAGAGGTGACGGGTCCGTGCTGGGTCACCTCGACCACCTGCGACATGATGGGTCCCTTCCAGACCAGCAGTCGGCCGTCGCTGGTTCCCGTGTACGACACGTGATCCTAAAGGCGTGAAACAAGAGTAAAGTCGACTACAGAATGATGTTCCACTTTTCACAGGCAATTATTTGCCTGGAGTAGTAGGCTGTGCCGCATCACACGGGCTAGTGGCTACGTTCACAAATTATAGCTTTGTCCCAATGCTCACAATCGACATGCTTAATTGTGTGATAAACGGCACAACTTAGCGCTCCGGTCAACTGCTAGCTTCTGAGGAGTGGAACATCATTCTGTAGTCGACTATACATGTTAGCGGAATACACGGGGGTCGGGGACATATGTCAGCGAAGATCGGAGACGGCACCTCATATGCGTTAACATGTCAGTGGAGACAGGCAGGGGATGTGAAGGAAAGGCGAGTGATACGTGAGTTTGTTTGAAATGGAACAAGATGTATGTAGCTAGATCTTCAATGGCCTTACTAATTCAAATAAGTTTTTTTGGTGCGGGTTAAAATGTGTTATCGATAAAGCGATAAATTGATAAGCTGCGAAGCCCTACATGGTGCCAGGCCGGCCACTTACCGGTCCGCAGGCCACACAGAGGAACCTCCGGTCAGAGCCCTTCTTCTTCCGCGGGATGTAGCCCTTCTGCAGCTGAATGGCCACGCCCACTATCTTACCAAACAGCACCTGGGCAACAACAAATACAGCCGTGAATATAAGCTAATGTAATGTCATATTTACAATTCAATAGACATGTGCTGCGCACCAGCGCAAGAAATAATGACGCACAGCAATGAGCACTGAGAACACATGGCAGGAACCTGAAAATTGAGCTATTGATGCTTCAGGTTGATGATAAACAAACCTACCTGTTTGGAGCAGAGGACGGTGAGCTTGAGGTCGTCCGAGGGTGAAAAGTCGGCGTCCAGGAGAGTTCCGCTCACCTGTGTCTGAGCCACCTGCATCGCTGGAAGCCGTGCGACGGCGTTAATAAAACAAGTACCTAAAAGCTGCGAACACAATCTATAAAATGTGCTTTAACGCTTATCGACATCAAGGTACCGCATCTTAATTCAGTGATTGCAGAAACGTATCTTATCCACATATGTTTGTGCTGAAGTAGAATAAACAAGACTTACCTTTCTTCCAGTTCCACACTCTGAGAAGGTAATGTCCATTTTTGTGGATGCAGCAGACAAGGAACCGACCACTGTCGGAGAACCGCATCCGGAATATGTCCTCCGCATGGGAGTTGGGCGCCTGAAAACAGCGCATACCTAAATTAAAGTGAGCGTAATAAACAGGAAATAAAAATGCACAAAACATTACGTGAAGGTAAGTCCTCCGCGTGGCATAGAAGAGCCCACCTTTTGGCTCAGGTGTGGACGACTGGGGCTGGAGAAGTTGATTTATTCGGCTCGTAGAGCTGTACCTGTTTACTGAGACAGCAGACTACTGCGCAACACGGTTATTCATTATGCTGGAATTTTTTGAGCTCTTCTCTGATCTATTCTACTCGTATTTAACACCCACACCAGACATGCACCCATTCCGTGTGATGTGGCCGTTTCCCTCAATAGTAACCCTGCCCTGTTCCCGTTACCCGGAGCATGCCGATGGTGTCGGCGTCTCGGCTCAGGTCCAGCACCGTCACAGACGAGCAGTCGTCCCGCTCAGAGACGGCCAGCAGGTGCGACTCGCTGGTGGAGACGGCCGCACTGCCCAGCACCGGCGCCTCGTGCTGGATACCCAGCACCTGATTACCTGTCCAGGTGCAAAGTAATAGGTTCTGATAGGCAATCGGGCGCCGTGAGCAATACCAATTTTTTTAACTTATAAAGGTTGAGTCTACTGTCTAACGAGTTAAAATCGTTGCCCTGATGTCACAACACAGGCTGCACCCTTCCCCCTAAGGCCCGGAGGGATCAGCTCTCCCTGCTTGTGCCTAATGCTCACCCTTCTCGATGTTGTAGCCGACGACACTGGTGCGGGTGACGACCGCGTACACCTCTCCCGACTGGAGGTAGAGCGCCGTCAGCCGGTCCTCAGTCAGGTGGCGGGGCAGGGCGGACACGGGCCGGCCCGACTCGCCGCCGGCCGGAGCGCCGTGAGACGCAGTCAGCTCTGAGAAAGGGTCAGGAATTAGAGGTCATTGGCGAGGACGGGCGGGCTGGTTTTAGGGTCGCTGAGACAACGGAGAAATGCTGCAGATAAATTGAGTGGTTGAATTAAATGTTCAATTAACTTCTGATAAAATACAGAATCAAGCTTTGGTCGAACACCGAGCAGCAATTGTTTTCAAAAGCTACTTTTAACAGTATGTGCGGCTCTTTTTGTCGACGCCTCTTTTTTCTATTCATCTGCCCTCCCTTCTTCTCCTTTATCAGCTCCCCTGCCCTGCCTGACTCCCACGCTCTCACCGAGGTCGTGCACGGCCAGGTCGTCCCCAGAGTCGGGGTCCAGCGGGTTGGTGTAGCCGGGCGCCACTTCTGTGCTCTGCACGCGGCTCCAGACGAACACCCCGCAGTCGGCGCCGCCCACCGACATCAGGTACTTGCCGTCGTACGACCAGCGCACGTTGGTCACGTGACTGCTGTGGCCGGAGTACTTGCGGAACCGGCAGAACTTCTCCTGGTTAGAGGGGACACAAGGCTGGGTCAGTACTAGCATGAGGTGTGGGTTGAAACGGACGCGAAACGTGCGGTGTAAGACAAGAAACTTATCGTGTTTTGTTTGTGTGCATTCTATTGAAATGCCCGTTATAAGACTTCAGAAGCGTAAGTGAAGCTCCCTGTTTAACCCGCGAGTTGCTGGGGGGGGGGGGGCGTTAAACGCCCCCACTTTTTTCGCCGGGCCATAGCATAAAAACAGCGCGCCGCAGGCGCGCCAAATTTCGGGTACCTGTAGGGAATTGATTGAAGCTTATTGTGACAAAGTTTCAAAAAATTCGGTAGGAAAATTTTTGAGATATCGAGGTTTTAGTGACGTCATGATATCTGAATTTTCGACCAAAAACGGCATATGTTCAAAAAATCATATAAAATCACAGAACAGACATACAGACATGCCGTAAAGGCAGTTAGACTGCCAATACCATGAACAATCAAATGGCTATCTTCGATTATTGATTATCGTTCCGCATTTTCCAAAATCTTGAACTGAATCGTGGCAATTTCTCGTGACTACTTCACGACCATGATACATGCATTTCTTAAATTGAACTTTTTGAGCCAAACACGTACACATATGATAAAATGAATGTCACCATCGTGTTCTACGCCCCAAATTACCCATAAAACATGTGTCACAGGCTGCGAATATCAGTTTTGATTTTCGGGGATATGTGCTTACCCGGTTGACCTGACCTTGACCCTGACCTATGCTTGACTGACCCCTACATGAAGCTGACACTCTTTTAGGCCTTATATGATGGATTGTGCACCGTTTTGACAGAGTTTATGACGAGAGGCGCCCATTGCGAAGTCCTGAAGTCCATGCTACTGAAAGCCCGATTTCAGGTGTTTGACCTGACCTTGACCCGACCTGTGACCTCAAAATTCAATTTTAAAGTACTCATCTGAAGCGTCTCGTCGCGTTCTTTCGTTTGCCGCCTCGTGCGTTTCGCTGCGCCTATCGGTTCTCGAGTTATCGGCTGGGGGCGTTTAACGCCCCCCCCCCCCCCAGCAAACGGTGGGTGGCGGAATACCCCAGCAACTGCCGGGTTAAGATGTGGCACAGACTCCTCTGAAAGCGTAGCTTTCTTTCCCATTCGTTCGCATCGTTCCCGCCCGCGATCAATTGGCTAGGTAGGCTGTGCCGCAATACCCAGTGTACTGCGGCGCAGTCTACCTCCCCGTTTCGTCGGCACCCGTTACAGTCAGTCTGCCGGCTGTCCCACACTGACCCTGGCCGGGTATCTGAACAGTTTGATGAGCCCTCCGTCGTCACAGGCGGTGGCCACTAGTGTCCGGTCGGGGCTGCGGTCAGCCGCGTTAATGTCGGTGAAGTCATCCTCCGGCGCCCAGATTCCGGCCAGACTCGGACTGAGCACGCAGGTCTCCGTGTGCCAGTCCAGCAGCGGCTCCACGGAGTTCGGCACCAGCTGCCGGCGGCCGGCCGGACAGTCGTGGTACAGCAGCTCGCCGGCTCCTGGGAGAAGGGGGGGGGGGCGTCAGTTAGACTCAGATATAACGGTAGACAAGGATGTATATAATGCAATTGCTTACGCCTGCCGAATGGCGTCAGCAAATGCATGTTTGCTTGCGAATGAAACATGGCAATGGTTAGCATCATTTTGGCCTTATGGGTTCTATGTAAATGTTCATCGCAGTTGAGCTTATTTCATGTGACAAGACGAGTGTAATCCCATCCCTCCCTTTGCACGTATCACCACATCTGCCACTAATCATGCTTCACGACCTTCATCAGACCTATAGAGCCAGCCCTCCGTTCGCTGCGACTCGTACCTGAGTTGCTGCGGATGAGCCGTCCGTCCTCCAGCCAGTCCACCTGTGATATGTAGCTGGATGCGTCCTTACAGACGGCCACGCGGCGCAACTGTCCGGCCTCCGACCAGTGGTACAGGTCCACCACGTCGTCATGAGAGGCGGCCGCCAGAAACCCCCGGCCGCGGACGGCCCGCGGCGACCAGCGGACGGCAGAGACCTGAGAGTCGCGGTGGTGGACGGTGGCCGCGCGCAGCAGACTGTCCGACGAGAACAGACTCACACTGCCTGCGGAGCGGAGATAGGGAGAAAAGTAGTAATAAAATTTTCCGCGAATCAACAGACCGGTAATAATCTGTAGAGAAAAAGAACAAGTGGAAAAGGGAACACATATAACGGAAAAGTCAGTGGTCGTATTGTCTGAACTATAGCAGAAATCATTTGTTGAATGTCAGTTCAAACGCATTGTGCGACCAATCCTATGTGAACTTTCATCAAAAATCCTATCAACCAAAAAAGGTGACCTCCAACTCATAGACAACGCCATTCAAGATGCTCTTCGTACCGTCCAGGAATCCGACGGCCAAACAGGAGCCGTCCGAGTTGTAGGCCACGCTGCGCGCCGGCCGTCGCAGGTCGGTCATGTGCGCGCCGCTGAACCGGTTCCAGACTCGCATCCAGTGGTCGTCACTGACGGTGACAAACTCCAGCGTGGTGGGGTGGGTGTCCAGACCCCACACCTCGCCGCGGCCGTGACCCTGCCGAGAGAGGCGGAGCGGGGGTCAGGGAGACAGGGTGGGAATAGGGAGGGACACAGGTGGGATCAGGGTAAATTCCATATGGACTTTGACCCAAATAACAAGTCTCAAGTAAACACGAAATGGAAGGTGCGACATGCTCCCTCAATGAATTAATATGAGGCCAGTTTTATCAACAGAAAAATAGCTGCCTGTCGGAAATTTTTGCCTAAAGACCGCTTCACATACATACAAACGGGATGGGCACGGGATGGGTAAACGGGATGGGCAAGTCAGCAGATAGGGCTTTACCGTTTACGCTCCGTATGTGAAGCGGTCTTTAGGCAAAAAATTCCGGCAGGTGGCTATTTTTCTGTTGGTAAAACTGGCCTCTGGTAGAGAAAAAAAAACAGTTATCGTGAGTCGAGACCAATACAGTGACGACTCCCCCCCCTCTCTCTCTCTCTCTCTCTCTCTCTCCCTCTCTCTCTCTCTCACTCTCTCTCTCTCACTCTCTCTCTCTCTCTCTCTCTCTCTCTATTTCTCTCTCTCTCTCTCTCCCTCTCACCGCCATGGTGACGCAGATATTGCCATCCTCGTAGATCTCCACGATCTCTCCGCGCTGCGTCCCGGCCACGATTCTTCCCATGCCCATGGCGCAGGCCCGGATGGACGGGTGGTCGGTCGTCAGCGTCATGTGACCCGCAGTGACGTAAGCGTTACTGATCGGGAAGATCTTGAGACAGCGGGAGAACTCGTTGTCCCAGAGGCAGACGTAACCGTCCTGGCCGCCGGTCAGGTACCCCTGGAGGACAAAGAAAGTGGTGAGTTGTGTTTGCAGTCTCTGGGAAGCCGAAGACGTGAGAGACACAAAAAAGACAACTAGCCAAAAAGATAAACACATATTCCTATATTCCTTCCTCTCTTTTCCCTTCCTCTTCCTCTCCCTCTTTCTCCTTCTCCCTCACTCTCCCTAGCGGTAAACGTTCGACCCCCTACCTCCTGCGGTGTGGCGATGCAGTAGACGGGTCCGCGGTGCGCCTTCACGGAGGTGGCCACCCGGCCGTTGGACCAGCTGTAGACGGTGCCGGACGCGCCGCCGCTGAAACTGGACCCGTCCCCGGACATGGCGCAGCACAGCATCGTGTCCTGGTTATCTGACAAAGAGACGGGATGGTCAGATACAGATTTCTGAGCAGAAAGTTACGACAACTTAGCCGAACGGTGCCTGTCACGCTTTGTAATATGTACGAAGGAGAGATGCATTGGAAATGAAATGCTCTGTATCGGCTACTTACCGAGTTTTCCGAGCACAGCGCGTTTCCAGGTCAGCCCGCCTCCGGAACGGGTCCAGAAGCGAATGTGGCGCACTCCGACTGTCATCAGCTTGTGGGGGTTGGTTGGGTCGAAGGCCAGGTCAAACACCTTCTCCGAGTGACCTCTGTGATCAGCAGAGGTCAGTCAGGTCAAACACCTTCTCTGAGTGGCCTCTGTGACCGGCAGAGGTCAGCGGGAGCGGTTAGCGGGCGGGACCATCAAGGAAAAAGCCTGCTTAGTGCTTTCATCTAATGACATCGAAATACGGCATCAACTGAGGAGAGGAACGCAATAAATCCAATATAAGATCGGCCGAGAATAACTGGAAGGTAACATAATTAGGTGTTGTGAACTCATCTCTTCAATGACAAAGAGACTTTAGCCGAATATGCTTTGACCTGCAGAACGCGTGACCGAACCAGACGAGGACAGACCCCTTTGCCCCAGAGCGTGTGACTGACCTGGCTGATGCCAGTTTCTGGCCGGTCTGCCAGTTCCAGAGTAACAGCGTGTGGTGGTCGTCGCCGCCGATACTGGCCAGCACGGAGCCCTGCTGACTGAGGGCCACGCTGACGACGGCCCGCTGGTGGGCGCCACTCAGCACGGACAGGGTGTCCAGGGTGGCCGCCGACCAGACGTGGATCGACGGGTCGGCGCCCATCTGCAGGCACGGGACGGGGTAGGGTTAGACAGGGGAAGGTAGCCGTAAAACAGCGGGGAAGATACTGGTAAAACACGGGTAAAAAAGATACACCGCAGGAGCACATACGAAAGGAAGTGGCTGCGACAGTAAGAGATAGCGGAAACAGCAGAAAGAAATAAAACGACTGATTCATGAGTCATGACATAAAGTAGAGCACGATTGAAAAAGCACGATAGGATTTATGCTTAAAAAATAGTTGTCCAATCGGCATGCATGGGAAGCAGAGGTGTCCCGTCCTTACCTGTCCGGTGGCCACCACGTCCGTGCCGGGCTGCACGGTCAGACAAAATATATCCCCGCCTCACCTGTCCGGTGGCCACCACGTCCGTGCCGGGCTGCACGGTCAGACAAAGGATGTCGTCCGTGTGCTTGTCGTAGAACTGCTGACCCAGTGTGGCCGGATCGTACACTATGCCCAGCGCGGCCAGGTGGTACACCAGGTGACCCTCCTTGCTGAAGTGCAGGTTGTTCCGCGTATCGTGACCACGGTACCTGAGGGAAATTTCATGGAGAGATTTGAATGTTTCTAAATGAAATAAAGATTAAATGACATGAAATATACGTGTGAATGAATGAGGTGCTGGAAGCGTTGAGCAATAAAATGTAAACATTCATTAAAACGAGTCCAATCAATGTTGATGTCTCATTCACTACAAGCACGGAATATGTGATATATATTCCGTGCTACAAGCTTTGCTTTTGGGAGATAGGTCGGATAAATGACAGTATAAACACTCTCTCTTAGCTCACCCTCCGACAAACTTCAGTTTGAGCCCGGCCTCTGGCAGTTTGGTGTCGGCGTTAGGGGCAGCCCTCTGCCGGGGCACGCCGCGGTGGGAGGCCGACGCCGAACGCTTCTCGCGACGCTTTCGGCTCACCCTGGTGGCAGGGGAAGGTTGTCATTCTTTTAATATTAGATTTATGCATGCTTGTCGTTGATATTGATAATTTGGCTTTCAGTAGCTGGGACGAGTCAATTGACGGAAATAAATTAGTTCACTTTACGTAATTCCCAGCTACCTACATACCTGGACGGTTTGAGGACGCTCTGCTCGTTCTCCACATCTGTGTAGATCTCCGGGAAATGTTCCGTGTCCGTGTCCGGCTCGTCATCCTCCGAGACCTGCACACTCTTCCGCACCGCCACTGGGAAACAAATCCTAACTGCATGAAAATTAGATAATGGTCAACTCTATGTAAAATATCGAAGGTTTAATTACGCAGCTGGTGGTGCTATGTGCATAGGTGTCGTAATTCGTATTAAATATATATGAATAATTTGACGATTTTAGGCATGAATTATCACGTTACCAGTGGTGCTGCACTTAATTCTCGACTTTCGAACACCTATTACTTTCGTGCCCATTCTTTAAAAAAAAGTTTAATTGTACCGCTGACGTACCGACGTGTTCACCGGTGTCCGGCGATCCGGTCTGGTACTTCCAGAGGAACACGGACCGGTCCCCGCCACCTATAGACACTACGTGGGTCCTCTTCGAGGTGAACCGCACACCGGTCACGTGTTCTGAGTGACCCACGAACGAACGGTACTTGCTGCCTGCAGTGAGAGACGGGGTACGCGATTGTTCACAAAATGGCACCATCATCTCTAATTAAAAACAGAGGTTGACCTTTATTTTCACTAATGACAAGACGCAGCGTTAGTTTTAATGAGCGGAAAGGTAACAAATGTGTACAGTTTTATGTTTACACCAGTTTGACAAGCAACAACGTCAAAGGGAGCAGCAGTCTCACCCTTTTTCCGGCAGGGAAACCGGAACAGTTTGACTAGTCCGAAGTCGTCGCCGGTGACGACGACGCCCCCGTCGGTGTCGACATCTGCGCTGTTGATGTCAGTGAGGTCCGAGTAGCGAGGCCAGATGCCGCTCAGCTCGGCGCCCAGAACTCCGGTCCGGGAGGCCCAGCGCAGGGAGTCGAGCACGTCCGAGTCTACCTCCTGCTCACCGTCTGAGGGGGAGGGTCAGGAGGGGGTTACAGGGAGTCGAGTACGTCAGAGTCCACCTCCTGTTCACCGTCTGAGGTAGGAGGGGAGGGAGTCACAGCGAGTCGAGCGGTTCCGAGTCTACCTATTGTACATACATCGTCTGGTGAGGAGCAGAGGAAGGGCCACATGGTTCTCATCGGGGGTCGACCAAAGAGCGTTGCACTGCAGTTTGCTCTTGGATAAAAATGGTAATAAAACTTCATACCGAACCACACGCAGTCACAGACCAGATCCCACCCAGTCGACAACACAGACTAGTCCCAGACGCCATCTCCGCCCCGTACCTACCTGCGGCTCGGTAGGTGAGTCTCTCTCCGGCACCCGTGTTGATCTCGATGTAGCGTCCGTCGGTGCTCCAGTCCAGATGGGTGATATAGCTGGAGGCGCCCTGCATCACAGCTGTTCGCACGTATTCGTCCGTGCGGTACACGTCCACAATACTGTCGTGAGAGCCGACCGCCAGCAGAGAGCCGTCCGGGGAGAACTTCAGCTCCGAGATGTCCTCACGACGGTCGACGAAACGCACCTCCTCACTCATGTCTCTGTGGCGATGAAGAAATGGGCCACAGATCATGATTGGTGATTCGAGATAGAGGGCACTCCAAAACAGCACATTGTTTTCGAGAGAGAGAGAGAGAGAGAGAGAGAGAGAGAGAGAGAGAGAGAGAGAGAGAGAGAGAGAGAGAGAGAGAGAGGGAGAGCGTGAACAAAGATCGTTAAAAATCTGGCCGGATACTTCACTCACTTGGCGTTGAGTATGACGACGGTGCCGAATTTGAGTCCGACGGCGACTTGGGTCGAGTCTGGTGAGACGGCACAGGACATGGCGGCCAGGTCGAGCCGCGTGGTCTCCAGCAGCTCCCGCTTCTCCACATCCCAGATCCTACGGCAGAGAAAGAACGGTCGAGGGCATACAAGGTCAGTGGAGATAACGGAGGGTTAACGAGGACACGAAGAGGACACATAAAAAATAGACAGGTTGAAACAGACATGTACATAGTTATTATATTTAGTAATTGATTCCGAATGAATAAAAACATAAGTTGTTTGCAATTTAGTCAAACTTACATACAACTAAACCTACTAAACCTCCTGCCACCCACCTAACGGTGTGGTCCTCTCCGGCGGTGGCGAATTTGTAGTTTTCCGGGAACGGGGCCAGGCCCCAGAGCTCCCCCTTGCCGTGACCCTGCATGTAACACTCGTTCACCCCGTCGTGGTGGATGAATATCTCACTCAGCTTTGTGCCGAATAGAAACTGAAAAAAAACGTGTCATGTTGAGGGATAGCGTCAGATTTATGCCGATTTCCCGACTTCAAAAAGTAAATTGCAAACAGGTAGAAGGCATTATCCATAACACTTCTTAAAGGAAAAGGGTCACCTTTAACATGGGGTTTGAAACTGAGATGGCCATCTTGTAGCCCGTGTCCGAAAACCCCGAGAGTGTCCCACCTTACGGCCGATTTCGGCCTCCATTTGTAGGTATCGGCAATTTTAAAAGAAAATATGCCAGGAATGCGTCCTTATCCCAGGAATGCGTTCTTATCCTGTAATACAGCCACCCGCGGCGAGGCTTTGGTTTTTAACCAATCAGTTCCAATCAGCTCAGCTTTAACCAATCAGCTAATCTGACACAAGCCGACGAGACTGTCTTCTGAAGGCTGATTGGCTTGAGTGTGATGTCATCGCTATGACATCATACAGAAGGTGCGGTAGAGAGTACAAACATAGTACCAATATGTTAAATAGTTTGACATACTTTTTTGCGAATTGTGCACTTCTGGCACCAGATTTAAAAAGAACATGAAAAATAATAATGTCAAAATGAAAAGCAACGATATCTTCATATTTCACGAAGGTGGCACTTTTCCTTTAAACACCAAATTATTAGATCGACTACTCCGCTTGGCTTGGCGGGCTTTCGCTCCGAACCTTTCCGTGGTCCCAGGAGACAGATGTTACAGCTCCATTACTGTGAAGTGACGGACTGCGAGCTGAAAAAGACGCCACAAATGATGTTGCATTTAGAAGCGTACGACTGAAACTATAATGGATACAAAGAACTAGCAAAGATGTAAAGGTGAATGACTGAATTTAAGCATAGAAATATACAGATAATATCTAAACAAAAGATGTCTAATGAAGCCTAATTTGTTTTATGCGATTGACACCGCAGTCCATTTGCGCATCCGCCTGACTGACCTACGACCGTTTTGCTGACGTCAAAGTGGGCCGTCCACATCTTCACGTGACCGTCTTCCCCTCCGGTGACCAAACCTTCCCGAGCCAGCGCCATACAGAACACCGGACCCTGAAACAAACAGTCATCCGCTCAGCTCAGGACACGGGGGCTATTAATTAACCGTCAGACTATCTCATCTCCACTCCTATAGAAGTGGAGATGAGATAGTTGTTATTGTTATAACCATTGTTATAACAATGACGCCTGCCGTCTTATCGAGGCTGACCACGGCGTGCGATGCGTTACCTCGTGCGCCTCCTCGATGATTTCGTGCAGCTGTTTGTCCCTCCAGATGTACAGCTGCCCTTTCTCGGTGCCGGTCACCAGCGTCTTCTCGGAGATGTAGAGAACGCCGGTCAGTGTAAGTGCGCGACTCGAGTCCCCGAACACTGCCCCGTGGGACCTGGAACCAGTGCGGACCGGCGTCAGTGCGCGACTCGAGTCCCCGAACACTGTCCCGTGAGACCTGGAACCAGTGCGGACCGGCGTCAGTGCGCGGCTCGAGTCCCCGTGGGACCTGGAACCAGTGCGGACCGGCGTCAGTGCGCGGCATAGAGTCCCCGAACACTGCCCCGTGGGACCTGGAACCAGTGCGGACCGGCGTCAGTGCGCGGCTCGAGTCCCCGAACACTGTCCCGTGAGACCTGGAACCAGTGCGGACCGGCGTCAGTGCGCGGCTCGAGTCCCCGTGGGACCTGGAACCAGTGCGGACCGGCGTCAGTGCGCGGCATAGAGTCCCCGAACACTGCCCCGTGGGACCTGGAACCAGTGCGGACCGGCGTCAGTGCGCGGCTCGAGTCCCCGAACACTGCCCCGTGGGACCTGGAACCAGTGCGGACCGGCGTCAGTGCACGGCTCGAGTCCCCGAACACTGCCCCGTCAGACCTGAGAACCAGTGCGGACCGGCGTCAGTGCGCGGCTCGAGTCCCCGTGGGACCTGGAACCAGTGCGGACCGGCGTCAGTGCGCGGCTCGAGTCCCCGAACACTGCCCCGTGGGACCTGGAACCAGTGCGGACCGGCGTCAGTGCGCGACTCGAGTCCCCGAACACTGTCCCGTGAGACCTGGAACCAGTGCGGACCGGCGTCAGTGCGCGGCTCGAGTCCCCGTGGGACCTGGAACCAGTGCGGACCGGCGTCAGTGCGCGGCATAGAGTCCCCGAACACTGCCCCGTGGGACCTGGAACCAGTGCGGACCGGCGTCAGTGCGCGACTCGAGTCCCCGAACACTGTCCCGTGAGACCTGGAACCAGTGCGGACCGGCGTCAGTGCGCGGCTCGAGTCCCCGTGGGACCTGGAACCAGTGCGGACCGGCGTCAGTGCGCGGCATAGAGTCCCCGAACACTGCCCCGTGGGACCTGGAACCAGTGCGGACCGGCGTCAGTGCGCGGCTCGAGTCCCCGAACACTGCCCCGTGGGACCTGGAACCAGTGCGGACCGGCGTCAGTGCACGGCTCGAGTCCCCGAACACTGCCCCGTCAGACCTGAGAACCAGTGCGGACCGGCGTCAGTGCGCGGCTCGAGTCCCCGTGGGACCTGGAACCAGTGCGGACCGGCGTCAGTGCGCGGCTCGAGTCCCCGAACACTGCCCCGTGGGACCTGGAACCAGTGCGGACCGGCGTCAGTGCGCGGCTCGAGTCCCCGAACACTGCCCCGTGGGACCTGGAACCAGTGCGGACCGGCGTCAGTGCGCGGCTCGAGTCCCCGAACACTGCCCCGTGGGACCTGAGAACCAGTGCGGACCGGCGTCAGTGCGCGGCTAGAGTCCCCGAACACTGCCCCGTGGGACCTGGAACCAGTGCGGACCGGCGTCAGTGCGCGGCTCGAGTCCCCGAACACTGCCCCGTGGGACCTGGAACCAGTGCGGACCGGCGTCAGTGCGCGGCTCGAGTCCCCGAACACTGCCCCGTGGGACCTGGAACCAGTGTGGACCGGCGTCAGTGCGCGGCTCGAGTCCCCGAACACTGCCCCGTGGGACCTGGAACCAGTGCGGACCGGCGTCAGTGCGCGGCTCGAGTCCCCGTGGGACCTGGAACCAGTGCGGACCGGCGTCAGTGCGCGGCTCGAGTCCCCGAACACTGCCCCGTGGGACCTGAGAACCAGTGCAGACCGGCGTCAGTGCGCGGCTAGAGTCCCCGAACACTGCCCCGTGGGACCTGGAACCAGTGCGGACCGGCGTCAGTGCGCGGCTCGAGTCCCCGAACACTGCCCCGTGGGACCTGGAACCAGTGCGGACCGGCGTCAGTGCGCGGCTCGAGTCCCCGAACACTGCCCCGTGGGACCTGGAACCAGTGCGGACCGGCGTCAGTGCGCGGCTCGAGTCCCCGAACACTGCCCCGTCAGACCTGGGAAAACAGCGCGGAACGGCGTCAGGGCTGCTGGGGTGCTGAGTGGAAAGGATCCAGCTGCTAGGATGATGATGTTGTGTTGTGGTGTAACGTGGATCGTCACCGGCCGAATAGTGTCTGTCTGTTTTCAACTACGCTTACTTGAAGCTGTTTCCGAGCTGTTGCCAGATGCGGAGGTGGTGCTCGCCGCAGGTGGCCAGCTCGTTCTCCCTGTAGGGGCTCCAGCAGAGGTCGACCACGCGCGCTGAGTGGGCCGTGTTAGAGGCTACGCTGACCCCGCTCTGCCAGCTCCAGACCACCAGGGTGCTCGGATCGTCCATACCCAGCGACGCCAGCAGCTGCAGGGGGTACATACGGAGGGGCATCGGTCAGGTACTGTTCGAAAAGTCATTTAAAAACTATGATCGGTCATGTAACAGAGTTGATTGCTCCGTCATTTTGTGCTGCTGATATTGATGGATTATGACGATCGAGTGTCTTGAGTAGTGATGCGACTACACCAAATCGCCAAAGTTATTTTATGCCATTTTGTTGAAACTTGGTTGAATGTTATGGACTGATTGCCATTAAATTAATTAGCAATGGTAAACCGTATGTCCGGCATTTACGTCGCATGATGAAACATGCAAACAGAGGTGTCATTAGCTGGCTACATATTCCGGGCTCTTATGTAATAGTGTACAGTCCGTTTTGCAACAACGTTAGCACTCATTGTCCACATTACACGATGTCGTGGAAATAACGTGCATAATTGAATTTCGTGTTGCAATGCAAGCATTCGAATCCTTGCATGTTCGTGTATGAAGGTGACCTTATTTTTCCATCGACCTACTCCGACTCACGACAAGCGGAAACTAAATATACTTTTACTGATTTGCGACAAGGCGATAATTCCGTGCAGCCCATACCCAGCAAGTTGGCCTCTAACGTTGCATCTGCGCAGCAGAATACGGCAGACATCACGAATACAGCACGATTGCGTGACGTTTCCTCGTAACTCATTGCAAAATGCTGATTTAGCGTCGGCGAAGAGCTAAGCTGCTTGAGTTCGACATCAAACGTACTTCGGTAAACTGGGAATGCTTTGGACCGTCCAGCGGCACGATATTTGACGCAGGCGGATGACCTTGTCGTACCCTCATCGTGACCTCTTCGCGACCTCGCTGTGACCTCTGACCTTTCCGTCGCTGTTGAACTGGACGCGTCGGATGCCGTTCATGTGTCCGTCCTTGAGCACGGAGAGTGTCTCCATGGTGTGCGGGTGCCACACACAGACGTAGGGGTCATCCCCGATCTGTCCGGTGGCCACCTTGGACTTGTCGCCGCTCACAGCCAAACTGGGCGAGCAATGCGAGGGGTCGGAAGAGTAATGCAGCAGCATATGCAATACGAATGTCACGGTAATGATATATTATTATGGGCAGACGATATGAAGCCACGATATAAGTCAGACTTCGATGTTATTTGCTAACTCATGATCGATATTTATGTATCTATTTTGGTGCGCAATGGCATTTGAGAGCCATTAATTACCAGGTGAATTATTATAAACATAAACAATCATTTTTAATGGTGCTTAGCATTGCTTATTTTAGAAATGAAACAGCTGGCTAAATTTTTGCATTGAATTGGATTTGCGATTTGATACATTCAATTTTCTCACCATGTGATATCGTCGTTGTGACCGTGAAAGTACTTCTGCTCCCGCTCCTTGAGCCTGTAGACCACGCCGACGCCGGCAGTGAAGTAGACGATGACGTCCTCAGAGAGGAACTGGACGTTCCGCTTGGCCACGCCGTTGTAGCCAAAGATCCACTGAAGCCTCAGACTGGCGTCCGGGGGAGCGCGGCCCGTCATCTTGCGACTCGGTGTTGGTGCTCAGAGGTCAGAGGTCAGAGGTGTTTGGATAGGTCAGGTAAGAGAAGGCCACTGAACGTGGCTGAGTTCAAACGGACGGTATGATCACCCGTCACTTTTAAGGAGTGAGGGCTGATCCTAGACTAGTTTGAATGCCAATTGACATACAAGACTGTCGCCGGCGAATAGGATGTCTGGCATGTTCCTTGATCCTCGTGTTATCAAGAAGTAGATTCAGTTATGAAAACGTCTTTAATCACTTTACTGGACTGGACGCTCACTCAGTTCTAGCGACGCTGCCGACACTCACTGGCACCACAGGCGTTTCCAGCCAGCCTACAGTCAGTCCACCGCACGCTGAACCCGGGCGCACCGAGTCGGCGCTGTCACGGCACTGCACGGCCGGCCGGCCGGTCCCGTCGGTCAGCCCGGCTCGATCGGCCCGCTCGGCAGGACCTGTGGTGGCCGGCCCGGCACGCAGCCCCCTGTGTACCGGTTGCCAGGGCCTCCTCACCAATCAATATACCAGCTAACGCCCCGACAGCCGCGCCGGTGACAACATTGGAACCAATGGCCGGTCACCACGGAACCGTGCCGCGGGGCGCCAAAGTGGCACGGGTCGTTACAGTGGAGGGATTCAATGAGTGCTGCTATATCGGTATAATTAGAATAAATATGTTTCGACGCGATGTTTTGCAAAATGAAGCAGCACCAGTTATGGTTGCGATACAACCAAAGTTACACTTCCGTGACCGAGCTTGGATGTTTAACGACGAATATGCTGATAGCATGATTTTACTAGACAAGTTTTTTTTTACTTACGATCGATAATACGCATTCCATATGCTATTATTATTCAAAAATAGCTATTTTCGGTGCGACTGCACCTTGAACGATGACATTAAATAACACCGTCCTTTTTCTGACGTGCTTCAGCGAGGTTCTGTAAAATGAAGCACACGAGCAAGTAAAGAAGCGAGGGACAACAAAGTAAACGAGCCAGTGCTTTCTTTCGCTGGCGCAGTAATGGCCGCTTCTTGTTATGCACTGATAATCGCCTTATTTGCTGAATATAGAGCATGAGATATCATTTAACTCCTCTGATTAAATTCGATACCATCATTTATGCAATGGTGCGTATATAATCACCGATCATGGTTCAGAAGAAGGCGCCGCACAACCACAGTCCGCTGGAGGCGCCGTCGGCCCGCTCCTCGGCCTCTCGGCTCTCCTCCCTGGAGAACCGCAAGAAAGGGGGTCTGGAGGGCAGTCTGGACGCCACCGGAGACATGCTTAACCAGCACATCTCTCAGCAGCTCTTCGTGGGAGATATCGGGCCAGAGCGGAAAACGTCCAACCTCCGACGGCTCAGGTGGGTGCGGGACTTCCTGCCTGGTTGTAATCACGTTTCTAGAGAGACGATGAACTTCAGAGGATATCATGCATTGTCGCACTGGTATTTATCGCCTCGGTCGGGATAAAGGCATTGACCAAAGACTTGGTCAATGGCAGAAGCGTCTTGCCAAAGCCGTAGCAACCTACTTATTTTGTCTTGCAAGCTACAAAATATGTACTTACATGTACTTTTTTAGCCTTTCCGTATTAGAAATCGTAAGGCCTTATTTGTGTAATTAAGTGTATCGGCTTTCCACTGATGGTTGCCGGAAACATAATGAAGCTATGTTGGTTTCGATTTCCCTGCTCAGCTTCTTCGTCCCTAACCCAGTATCTGCTACTGGATGCAATATCGATGCCGGTTGATTTTGACGCCGGCGTCTCGCCCCTCTGACAGGTCAGTGATCCCGGGCGGGGAGGCGGCCGCGGCCAAGCGGGCCCAGCAGCTGGCCACCCACACGCCGGACGTACTGATCGCCGACCAGGATACGCAGATGCCGCACAGGAAGGACACCAACGCCATCACCTTCTTCGTCGACGTCTCCGGTATGAGGGCTAGGTGGGAATCATGGGAATGAGAGAAATCGATCACAGACATCCGGTGAATAGAGTTTCTCAGGGTTCACGAAGAGAAGGCAAAACTATAATTTGGGTTAAATGGACGCTGGTCGAATACGCTAAAAATAAAAGATATTTGTGGAGGAATTGGTGGGAGCTCAACGTTCCTTGTACATAGGTACAGCTACCTTTCTCTGTTACGGCATCATTCAATGTTTGCTAACTAGATTCATCTATTCTGGAGCAGTTGTTTCGTCCGTTACACTAGTACCCAATGTCTTGTCTTTCGGTAGGGTTTACCGCTCTGACGGAGAAATACACTCTGAGCGGGCGCGGCGGCACCGACAAACTCACCGAGACGCTCAACAGCTACATCGGAGCCCTGGTAGAGTGTATCCTGCGCCGGGACGGAGACGTGCTGCAGTTCGCAGGTCAGCTCCCAGCTTTACGGTCCGAGTGTTCAGTAAACGCTATGATAATTTATTTATCAATTTTCAATAATTTACCATACAGCTAAGTGATCGAAGATTGATTTGCGTCCACATAATACCCAATAGATCGACAGTACTCAATATATCCCAAGCTTGCATTCAGCAGCACAAGTTATAAATTCGCGCTCCCCTCTCTATCTCTATATCTGTCCGTCCGTCCCGAACGCGCACTGTCCCAACCCGGCCGCGGTCACCAAGCGCCCCAGGCGCAGCGACCTCGCGACAGCCAATCAGGGGCCGCGCGGCGACCTCGCGACAACCAATCAGGGGCCGCGCGGCGACCAGCCCTGGCGAGCGAGCAGAGCCGCGGTGCCGAGTTGGGCGGCTGCCAGCTCACTCCCTTCATTATTCAACACAAAACCAGACTCATACCGGAAATATTAAAACTGTACTTGGCTTGTATTTCCCCGTGTATTGCACATTTATTTTGCTAATGTATCTTCGGGAGCTGCTAAGTGCTCAGCCGTCTGTTTTCTGCAACAGGTGACGCCATTCTGGCCATGTGGGCGTGTAATTCGGAGGCCGAGATGCCGGCGAAACTGGAGGAGGCCACTGCCTGCGCGGTTCACATCCAGGAACACTACGGAATCCGGACCACAGACGTCGGAGTTCGGCTCAAAGGTGGGTGAAATATGACGACACTGGTGCCAGTTCTCGATTGAGCGAAGTTTTATAGGGGTGGGCTTGTACTCTCAGACATGTGCATGGGTGTGTAACTGCATATCGCGTTAGGAACGACTGATATTTGACGTATACTCACCCAACATGTGCGTCCATGCAAATTTCCCCTATGCATTACAATACACATTTCCAGTTGGCTGACCTTCCTGCCTACCTTGCTTGCAGTGAAGGTCGGTATCGCCTGCGGCGAGGTCACCATGTTCTTTATCGGCCTGCGCAGCTGCAGCCAGTTCGTCATCGTGGGCTCGGCCGTGGATGACGTCAACGCCAGTGAAAACCAGTGCGAGTCGGGAGACGTGGTCGTCTCGCCGATGGCCTGGGCCATGATGAAGGCATCCACCTGCTACGACGCCGATCCGCGGGGAAACACCGGGTTCATGAAGGTAGGAGGTCTAACGGTGCAGTTTAGGAAAGAAGCCAGGAGTGTAATACAGGGAGGCGCTTCAGATAGCGCTGTAGTAGAGACAAGTGATTCATTTATCATGAAAATAAGCGCATATGATAATCAATAAAGCTGCTTAGTGATCCTGTTATCAAAGTCCACCCGCACAGCCTGCTTTGTGCAGTAACCGCATTTCCATTCGCCCTCCTCAGGTGAGACATGCCGTGCGGGACGACAGTGACCGAGACAGCAAGGAGGCCATTGACCTGGCCTCGGTGAGACAGTCCATCGCCGTTCCAAGCTCCATGGAGGCCAAACTGACGCCCTATGTCATCCCACCCGTGCTGAAAAAGGTGTGTGAAACCCGGCGACAAAGCATCGTGTTTTTTATCTCCCTTGGCCGCAAATTATCATAATTCGTCTCACAAGTTTCACCATCCATAGACTAGACGTTAAGCTACATAATTGCTCTATTTCATGCACTTATTAGATTGGGAGAGTCGCGGCCTCAAATGCTCCCACGGAGCGGCATGTGTCCCAATGATTCGTTGCGCCCTGCGGCACAGCATCGTTCAGGCGCTGGATAGTAGTGACACCTAGCGACTGAAAGACGAAACATTGTGTCGTGCGGTGCAGTATCTAGCAGCTAGCCGGGAACGAGCCGAAGCACGGTGTCAAGGGGCGGTGATCATACCTGTGGTAAGCGTGACTTTTTATCTGAAGCTTACGAAAGCTGACAGTGTTTTGCGTTCGCTCGTCTAGTTTCTTGGCGTGCCGAATATCTCTTTCGTGTTTCTGCCTCTACCCTGTTGTTCACACCCGTAATATCCCATTTGTCTTTCAGCTGGCGGACGACCAGCCGCTCGAATACCTCTCCGAGATGCGCCAGGTCTCTATCGTATTCTGCCAGCTCGCCACGGATGGGGTGTCGTCCGAACTGCCCTCCATCCTGCAGGATGCCTTCGTGGTCATGCACAAGTTAGTCAGATAGTGAAGGCCGTTTATGAGTGATCGCTAAGTTAGCGTAGCTTTAGAGTCCCCGTTGAGCTCGAGGCGCCACATATCTTCGGACAGTCAATCATGTACTTTTGGGTTTGCGTTGCCAGCTTGTTAAAATGAAAGGTTTAAGTGACGTATTTGGCAAACGTGATCATGGTCAATGCTCTCAAATTGTCCCGAAAATTGACAGACTATTTTTAACTCCTACAGAAAGATAACGGCGGTGAGTGGCTGCCTGAACAAGGTGTTCGCCTTCGACAAGGGCATCACGTTCTTGGTCATATTCGGCCTGCCCGGCTTCAAGCACAAGAACGAGGTGGCGCACGCGCTGCAGTGCGCGGACGCCATCTCCCAGGAACTGCTGAAGGAGGTCACCGGCATCAACCGCGTCTCCATCGGCGTCACCACAGGTCGGTTGCTAGAACCTGATTTTTTTCTCTCTCGGGGAATGCAGGTTATTGCTGCACGAATTTACCTTGTCATCCCATGGCCTG